GCACTACCCCATCGTCGGCAAGTACCTGATCGGCGCCTTCAAGCAGATCCTGGGCGACGCCTTCACGCCCGAGATCGAGACGGCCTGGACCATTGCCTACGGCCTGCTGGCCGACATCTTCATCCAGCGCGAGAAGACGCTCTATTCCGAGGCCGGCTGGCAAGGCTGGCGCGACTTCACCATCGCCCGCCGCGAGGACGAGGCCGAGGGCATCACCAGCTTCTACCTCAAGCCCACCGACGGCGGCCTGCTGCCCCAGTTCCTGCCGGGCCAGTACGTCAGCCTGCAGATCCCCGTCCCGGAGCTCAACGGCCTGTTCCAGAGCCGCCAGTTCAGCCTGAGCCTGGCGCCCCATCAAAGCGCCGAGCAGTACCGCGTCACCGTCAAGAAGGAAAAGGCCGTCGACTCGTACACGGTCGAGGAGCTGGCCGCCGGCAAGATCGCCGGCCTCGTGTCGCAGCGCCTGCACGAGCAGTACAAGGTCGGCGACAAGGTCCAGCTCAGCCCTCCCCACGGCGAGTTCACCTTCAGCGCCGCCGACACGCCCGTGACGGCCCCGGTCGTGCTGCTGTCCGCCGGCGTCGGCGTCACGCCCCTGCTGTCCATCCTCGACACCATCCTCGAAAACTCATCCCAGGGCTCCCGCCCCGTGACGTGGATCCACGGCGCTCGACACTCTGGCGCCGTAACCTACGGCAAGCACATCCGCGAGGCCGACGCCAAGCACAGCAACCTGTCCACCAAGATCTTCATCAACAACGTCACCGAGGCCGACGTCAAGGGCCAGCAGTACGACTACGCCGGCCGCATCAGCCTCGACACCCTCGAGGCCGACGGAGTGCTGCCCGTGAGCGATGCCTCTGCCGAGTACTACATCTGCGGTCCCGAGGAGTGGATGATCCAGACGCGCGCTGAGCTGCTCAACAAGGGCGTCAGCCTGGAGAAGCAGCACCTGGAGCTGTTCCGCACCGGCACTGTCTAGATGAGCAGTCAAATCGCATGTGTATGATGGAAAAATAATAAGAAGCACACCTGTACAGAGTCTCTGCTGGTAGGGATGTCGTGGATGTGCATGTCTCCTCTCTGAATTGGGCGTTGGATGTATGGATATGAATGGGCAATAGCGTTGATTTCAGTTTAGTAAAGGTAGAAATAGACTTAGCATACCTGTATAACAGGGGGGAGATATTCAAAAACCTCCTTTCTTAGTTCAAACTCTACTCGCCCTGTATCTAGGTACGAATACCGAAGTGCTGACTTACAATGGACAGGGCGTACTAAGATAGGTACCATAGTGGAAAGGGATCATTGATTAAAAAAAATTATAGCCAATCATTTATTGTCAAAAAAAACCAGTCTATCGTTGGTTTATCCTATTTCCCAAAAAAAACCGTCAACATCTATCCTCCTCAAAGTACGACCCCCTATTTACAAGAACATCTTCATGCTTAGAACAAGGCCAGGACACCGGCGACCAGGGCCACACCGGCAATGGCAGCTCCGGAGAATCGAGTCACGGCAGCAGCGCTGGTGGTGGTGGTAGCGGCGGGGGCGCCCGATGTGGTGCTGGAAGAGTCGCTGTTGCTCGACTTGGAACCTCCAGCGTTGTTGGAAGAGCTGTCTGAGGAGCCCTTGACAGGGGAGGGAGTTCCAGTGGCGTGGACCAGAGTGGTGGCCGTGGAAGAAGACTTGCCGGTCGGCTTAGTGATGGCACTGGAGGACTCCGAGGACTCGGGAGGGCAGGTCAGGTCGAATGAGGGGGTGGAGGACAGGCTCTGGCTGATACCGAACTTGACCTGGTTGGCAGGGTTGGAGTCGCGCAGGTTGTACCAGAAGGTGGGCACCTTGTTGAACAGCCTCTGGCAGCCAATCTGGTCCCAGTACGACTTGGCGTTGGCGACGCTGGGCTTGGCCTCGTCCCAGTCGGGACCGGTCAGGGGCCAGCCGGTCTCGGTAACCCAGACGGGCTTGCCATTGGCAACGCCAAGGGTGGTCTCGTAAGCAGCGTCGAAGAGCTTGCCGGCGTTGCTAATGTCGTTGCCCTTGCCGGTCTCGTAGAAGGGGTACTCGTCGACGCCAATCCAGTCGACAGCGTCGAGAACAACCTTGTTGGTGCCGTTGACCCAAGCATCCCAGGTATCGACGTGACCAATGGGGACGCTGGCCATGGGAGTGTTGGCAAAGGCCTTCTTGTAGTCGTTGATGAAGCCGAGAATCTCCTGGGGGCCGTTGCCGACACCGGCCTTGTTGGTTCGTCCAGTGGCCGAGTCACGGTACAGATCCTCGCTACCAATGGAGATGCCGATGATGAGATCGGTCAGGTCGGTGCCGAACTGCTTGACGGCAGCGGTCAGAGCAGCAAGCTCATTGTTGATGTTGGTGGTGCCAGAGGCCCAGACACCGAGGAGGATGTAAGTCTTGGTCTTGACGGCGGCGGAAAAGGCCTCGATGGGGGTGTTTGTGGAGTAGGCCTGGATGTTGGTGTAGAGGCGGACGGCGTTGAAGGTGCCAGGGGCGCCAACAAGCTTCTGGGCGGTGGTGAACTCGGCCAAGAAGTCCTTCTCGAACTTGGCGGACTCGTCGGGAAGGGTGTTGCCGGAGTTGAAGCCGAGGTAGTTCTTCTGTCCAGCAGAAACACCGGCGGCAAGGGCAACACCAGTCGCGATAGTCGTAGACAACTTCATGGTGAAATGTGTTGGCTGATTGAATCAAATGTTACTGATGTGATGCGGTGCGGTGCAAAGAGCGTGGTGCGCGACGAGCAGAGGAGCTAAAGAGCGATTGAGTCTATTTGGGCCGTGCTGGGCAGTGTAAAATGAAAGAACGTCTGTGGACAAGGAAATGAACGTCGCAGCAAGAAAACGAGGCAATGCTAAGAATGAGACAATGTCAAGGCCAAGCAAGAAAAAGAGAGTTGATGAGAGAAAGGACGGCAGTTTTGAGCTGCGCCATGGCGAAATTGCAGGCAGGGGGTGACAGCTGGGATCACGTGCATTTCAGGGACCGTGCCGGTTGCTGTAGCGGTCCCTTGGCTTCCGTCAGGTATCTGGAGCGGTGCCTGCAGCGCTGTAAATTGTCAAATGGTACCTGCGTCCCCCCTGGGGGGATCCGCATTGCCCAAGTTGAAACAGGAGTGCATAGCCTCAGGGCGCCTAGCCGGATTGGGCAGCACTGAGAGCACATCTTGGATCTAATTGGAAGCTGAACGGCTATGGCCGAAGGGTCACAAACAAGGGACAATACGAGGGTGCACAGCAAACCAATGATGGGAGCGCAAGTACCCGTGACAACGGGGCTGCCTGTCCCTTGAATGGAGGTACTAATCAGCAGTGATGATGTGATGCCTGTTTGCTGTTGTTGTTGCTGTCCCTTTACCCTATATTCCCTCTTCTTTTCGAGTTCCTTTTATTTAATCTTGCTCTTCTTTTCCTCAAACTAACCAACTCTACGGGGTACCCTAGATGATCAAATGCCAGATTGTCTACTTACTTGCTGATGTAGTATCAAGGCCATGTGAAGCCATACCTGCAAAGGGAGTCCTACTGTTGCCAGACGTTTCTCCTCTTTCAGCGCGCATCTGCCCGTGCACGGCAGATGAAGCTCGTATCATGGCGCCAAAAACGCACAACGTGAAACCATTTGATGTAATAAGCAGAATCGATGCTGGTTGGTGCCCTCAGGGAGAAATGGAACGTGCTGGAGCCGTGTTTTGATGGCTCGGCGCAGATCTGGGCCCCGCCGGTCGCACCAGAAACGAAACAAACTTGCTAGGCCAGACAAATGGATGTCGTGCTGGCAGAGACAGACAGCATTCTAGCAATACTAGGAGTAATGCTAGAGTATTGGCAAAGCAGCGCTGGAGCCGAAATTGTCCCAATTAATGAGGAGTAGGCATTGGGCACCCGTGGCAGGCCGGCAGCTCATATAAAGTGCTGAACCCCTGCTACTCCAATATTTGCTCTCCCTAGCTAATTAGTAGGTATCTGCTTCCATAACCAGCGATTCGGCGTTCTATATTAATTCTCGAAAGGGGATAAAAATAATATTGTTAGTAAGAAGGGCATGGATATGACTTCAGCAAGGGGCTGCTGAATAGATTGACCAGCCTGGGGCTAGGCGGCAGAGTAAAGGGAGAGACTGCCTCGGCCGAAACAGCACCGAGTGAAGCGAGATTGACTGCTCAAGGAGTTCACGGACCCAGCCATGGAGAAGCTTACCAGTATGGTAAATAGTATAGGCAGCGAGCCTTTTTGTCCTTCCCGCCTGGATGTCACTCCGGCCCGAGCAGAGGGTTGTGGAATCACACGGGCGGGAATTGTTAGGGCATGCAAGGCAGACGTCCGCATTCCGCTCACCGAGAGCCGCACCGGACGGCAACTGTGGTGAATGCCGGCATCATCTTGCATGGGATGGACAAAGGTGCCGGTATTTATGCATTGACAGATGGGACAGCTGCTCCATAGCGTCTGCGAGATCCGGCCCCAATGACGTTGCGCCCTGGTGCGTATGTGTGAGCGTGTGTGTGTAAATCCGTAGAGAAGCAACCGGCGACACACAACTCCAGGCTGTCGTCCAAACAAGCGCGAGGCCTCACAACCCTCTCAACCCTCTTTGCGTGCCTAAAAAGGCATGACTCAGCCCGGAATCGAGCTACCGGCTCCATCTTCCGCGTGGGTTTTGGCGCTTGCTGGATCCCAACTCTGATAGGCGCGCAGGCGCGCGGAAGAGGATAGATCCGAAAGGAGCGTGAGCTCAGGCGAGGCAGAATTGGGATTTCGTCTGATGAAGTCACTGTGATGCGTGCTGACGGGGCACTCCGGGCTGGTGCTGTGCATCATTTGAGCTTAGGGCTCCAGGTTAGCGGGTGCCGGAGACTTTTCCCACATCACTACTAGGTACTGATCCCTCCCCTTCAGCCCTCTGCTAGCGCGTCCAGCCCCCCTCCCTAGCCACCAGCGCGGTTAACAGCGTGGCGGTGCTGCGGTTAATCCTCCAGCTCCATGCCTGTTCTAAGCGCGCCCCTGCGCTTGTTGCGCACAACGGATACGCTCGGATATCCGGCGACGCCATTGGCCGCCTCGCATCTTTGTGCGCCGTTCGCCATCTTTTCCCTTCAAGGCATGGGTTTGATGCTAACACCAGGAATGAACTCGCAAGGGTCAGTATCTTTGGAACGGCGGGGGCGTGGAGAATGTTGCCGCCTGCAGTAACTGAGTCGTTATTTGGATTGATGCTACAGTTCCGGTATTTGCATTACAGGGCCAAGACAACCTACCAAAAGGTCCCTCGACTCGACTCAACTCGACGGCGACGGCAACGGCAACGGCAACGGCAACTCCTTGACTCGGCTGGACAACCCACGAATCGCTCGAATGCGACAACTTGCCAAACTCCTAGCGCGTCTATCCTATCGCCCTGGCCCCGGCCCTGGCCAATTCCAACGGGCTTATGCACGGCAGAGAAACGAAACACCGCCGAGAAATGCCGCCAGAGAAACGCCGCAAGCCTCCGCGGCGCGCTTCCGTAGCCCTGCCTCGCCCTCTTCCCACTTCCACACCCTCGAAAACGATGCGGCTCGCGCTGACACCCGCCATGTCCGCCGTATCCGCCATGTGTCCACCAGGGAGAATGTTCCTGACCTGCGAGATGCGCCCATCGATTCGGCTTAGCCCAGACCCTGGCCAGGAACCAGCGGAGCTACCATATGCCAAAACTGGTTCAACGACGCCTTGCTAGCTTCGCTGTGTAACCCATCCCTCCCCATCTCACACACCCGCCACCACTACCGGTGTCTTGGTGCTGTTACTGCTGATGCTTCTAATCCTGGTACTGGCGTTGGCGCTGCAGCTCTGCAGTCGATCGTTCGGTGGATCCGGCACCAGGCCTTGCAAACCATGACAACTCTCTTCGCTTCCAGTCCACTCTAAACTCCTATTGGCACCGACTATCAGGCGTTGCAATGAAGGGAAAGCAACTTCCCGGGCAAGTTCCTCGCATCTCACAGCTCCACCTTGAGGGCAGAATGAGAGAAAGCCCTATGGGTTAGGGGGGGTAGATGGGCAAGACGCCGAAGCTGGCCATGTGTCCTGGAACCTGGCTTGTTCTGGCGATGGTATCAGATGGCCCTAGAGTCAGACCGACTAGCATTGCCCAGTCCAAACCATCAGTTCAGGCTGCAGAGACGTGGGGAGTCTGGCCCATCGTCAGCACGGGAAGCCCACCCCATCCCATGCAGCCACCTTGAACTATGGACTTGACATCTTGGACCTTGTTCTCTCACCTGGTCCTTTGCTGCTCATCCATTCCCATCTCAACGGAAGAGTTCACATCCGCTGACAACGGGCCGTGTATTGGCATTCTCATGTGCGAAACCCCATCGACAACGCCTTGCGAAGGATCCTCATCATTTCGGACTGAGTCACTTGCATCGTTTCGATGCTGCGAAACTATAGACACAATAAGCTTCATCCATGTTGGTTGCAGGCAGACTTTTGCGAACCACTCGCAACTATAGGCTTCACTCACACACCTATTCTTTTCAGGCATGACCGAGGCAAGGGTTGTCCAAGAGGGCTTTCGCGATAGGACATTGGAGCCTCACACCTTTTCGAGCTTCAACAGAGGATATAAACCAAAAATCCCCGTCTTGCATCATCAATCACCAACAGCCTCGAGATCAACAGAGTCGATAACAACCTACAGCAACCACAACAACTACATCGACAACGACACCGACAAAACATCATTCCTTTTTTCCATACAACACTTTGTCTCAACCGTCAACCGGCAAACCCAAGCAACCATGTCCACTCCTCGAAGCGGCGGTAGTGCGAGTTCCAGGGGTTCCAAGACTCCAGAGAAGACCCGGGTAAGTTGTCATACTTTTTTTGTTTCCCCCCTGGGATGTCTTGCATAAGGAACATGAACATGCATACATCGATACATGTGTATGCAAATACTGTCATGCACAAGTTATACACCAACTCTTGAATACACTCAAGCTGCTGGCTCATATGCAAGACGAGGCCAGAGGAGGCTTGATGATACAAGGCAAGCACTTTGCTAACACAACGGCACAGTCATCCGTCTCACAGCTCATCGACCAGCTCAACACCCACCGAGTCAACACTCTGACGGAGCTCTGCCGCATCGAGCGCATCGCGGCAACCTGCGACTCGGAGGCAGAGGCACGAGCCTTTCAGCAGCCCATGACTTCGGCCTGGATCCACTACGTATCGAGCAACCAGTTCCTCACCGAGCTCCGCGGCCTGACCCGAAACTATCCCCTGAGCGCCGACATTGTGGCCGAGGCCCACAGGCGCGTTCGCTCGGACCCGGAGAGCAACCGCAGCTGGAACCTGGCGTGGCTGTGCCTGACGCGGATGCGGGACGACGGGCTGGTGAGGATCTTCTCGGACGCAGAGGCACGGAAGCCGGAGATGTGGGGAGGCAAGGGCCCGAGCGAGAAGATGGTGCAGCAGCTGGCGACGTGCTTCGAGGACGAGTGGAGGGCGGCCATTGAGACGATGCTGAGGCACTGGGCGACGCCGCCGACCTGGTACTGAGCGCGTGCATGAGTTGGAGCGTCGAAGCTTCTTGCGTTGCGTTACATTGCATTGCGTTGCATTGCGTTGCATTGCGTTGCATTCTGTTCTTGTCTTCTTGCTGGCGAGCGAATTGGTTTGATGGGCCTGTTTGCTCGCCCGTTTGCTTCCTATCCTTCTTTCGTTCCTTTGCCCTCTCTTTTGGAGGTTGACTTTGTTTCCACTTCTCTGGTTGCTTGCTGTCTTTGTTTTTGCTCTGTTTTTGCTCGCTATCTTTGTCTTGTTTCTGTTTCTGTTTCTGTTTCGCGTCGGTCTTTTGTTCTTGTTCAAAAAAGCGATGTTTTGGGAGGGATTCCTTTCTTCATGGACGACGGCGTCTACATTTTCGTCTGCATCTGCATCTCTGGCGAAGAAGCAATGCGCTGTAGGGTTTCTCTTATTCTTACGTTCGCTGCTGGGGCATGGTCTCCTTGCTTTTTAACATTCATCCTGTTTTTTTCCCCTCTTCATCTTCATCATCATTGTATTCTTACATTCTCTGGGGGAACTTTATTCTGTTATTAGACATCATTTCCTGTTCAACACATTTTTGGTTCGATAAACATCATTCTTCCTGCAATATACAGATTGGAAAACTGTTGTTTTGATCGTATAGTCTACTGTGAATCAATGTCAACAAATATAGAACTCTTGCTGGACTGCTGGAGTTTAAGCCGTGCCAAGAACAACAAGTCCGGCCTCGTATACCCTAGCCAATCCGTGTTCGCCCTACGCAGCACCATGTTGATAACAAATGAACCTTGAAAATATGGCTAAATGATTAGTCGGTGCAAATCTCAAATGCAGGGTTATGCCGACGCATCCACCGAAGTTGCGCGACGTCGTGCACTCTCGAGCCTCTGTTTGGGCGTTGCGGATGCTGAGGCAGTTTTGTAATTTGTACTCGTACTGTAAAATGCAAATAGGAACGGAAAAGGCTGCCACAAAGCCGAGTCGCGGCTTCGGAGTCGGCATCAAACTTGACCTGAACGGTTAATATTACATGTACCTACCGTATTGATAAAAGGCAGCTAAACTGTGAAGAGACAGAGCACCAACCAACGTCAGAGATGGACAAGCAGAGTCACATCACAGCAGCCCACTACTAACGCCGAGAATAGGTTCCATGACGATTACTCCTTGAACCCCCCCCGGAAAGAGGCCGTCCAAAATAAGAAGGATCAAAAAACAAACATGATCCAAGAAAGAAATACAAATCAAATCAAATTGAGAGAGAGAAAAAAGAGGTTGCATCCGTTGTGACATGCGGTTGTCCAGAACCGTCGGCCGCGCAACAGCGCTGACGTTGTAGCGCCTCTGACTCGTACAAACTCCCACCCTGGGCAACGTAGGCTCTGTCGCAGCCTATAGTATAGTATTGGTTGATCCATACCTAGTAGTATAGTATGAGGATAGACTTGTGAATAAAGTAGCCCACATTCGCCTTCGCTGACAAAGAGTCGAGGCTCTTGGGCGAAAAAAGATGCAAAGTAAGCGGCTGAGCTCAGAAAGTAAGTAGGGGGGCAAGGCCACGGCAAATTTCGCCGCGTGACGATTCTGGAACTGGGGATAGGAAACTGATTCGTATGTCGCTTCCGTGCCTTCGGCGAGAGTGTATCGGGCAATGGACTGGAGTTGGTGCGCTGCCTGTTTCGGGTTAAGGAGCCACACTGAGGCTACTTGGATGAGTCGTTCGCCGAAGGAGGATGGAAAATAGCGTAAGGTCTACAGTACGACAAAACCACGTGTGTGCGTGAGTCTATGCAGAGACGGACGAGCGGCAGGATTCGGGAGCAGAAAAGGCTCGTTGGAATTTACAATTACTATTCTTGATTCGCATCTCGGATTTCGCGTTTAGAACAGATGCGGCCTGTAAAGACGAGGGTCCGACTGCCATACGAGCATGCCATGCAGTTCGCACTCCTTGGCACAATCCTTCATCGCCCACACATGAGAAATAAAGAAACAAATAAAGAGGCTCCGCCCGGATAACTAAGCGCCGCTTCTCTTTGGTCTAGGTAGGGTGTCCTGTCAGTCACAAAACCTCCACGGAGAAAGCAGCCCACTCCAAGTAAACAAAAAAAAAAAAAAGGGATCGGCTTCGGAGCCGAGTTCGCTACTCGGGCTAAGTGGGGGTGGAGTGCGAAGCCTTGCTTACACGCTTGCTGGAACAGAGGAAATGCAGCTTTTTCTGGGGGAGAATCTACATGTATCTCTCCGGGGGGATTCGATGATGCCATACTGGCCAGGTGGACGCCAAGCGCACGCATGTCACGTACGTATATAGATCGCGGTCTGATGAGACGGTCCTGTCAGAAGGGGAATCTTATTGCGACGGTGAAAACAAAAAAGCGGGCTTTGGGTGACTGACTGGGTTGGAGACTTGTGTATATATTACTGAGCATATCCTCCGTGTTAATGGACAAGAAGCGAGGGCATGGATACTGCCATATATACCTCGATTGCTCGGGCTGCTCTTGTTGGAGACGGCTACTGGCAGGCCAATGCAACAAACGCGGCTGCGGTTGGAGTAGCAGCAATGTCTTTGAACCGAGGCCAGAATCATAACCAGGGCCAAGACCAGAACCAGAGTCCCTATCAGAATCAGAATCCAAACCAGCACCAACACCAGAGTTCCAATCTTCAGTATCAGGCCCAGAGTCGATATCAGCATCCACATCAGAGCACGACTGCGGGAACAACTCCAGGTATGTCTCCCCTTTTTATGATCAAGACACACAAGTCAACGCCAGGCTTATATATACTGATACATCTTCTCATCTTCCAGTCATGGTGCCACCGTCCGTCGTATCGTCTGCAACTCAGGTCAAGTCGGAGCAAGACTGCTTCGAGCGCCTCGCATTGGAATTCGCGTCCCTGCCAGACCGTGAAATGCCACCAGAGGTCTCGGATCCGGTAGCCGCACAGCAGCTCACGAACCCAGCATGTAAGCCAACCCACCTAACCAGAGACAAATTCCATCCATCTACATATGCAAGCAAGCTCGTGTAAGACGGCTAACGAGAACAACAGCAAGAGCGATGCCAGACCACAGAATCTCGCCAAACACGCCCACCAACAACTTTGTGGCCAAGACGATACGCGCGGCCATGGCGGACATCAAGCCCAGCTCGTGAAGTAAGAGTAAGAGTCACAACATATTAGCCTACCGAGCTATTGGCAACTGCCGTGCGTGCGTACGGCTCTTTGTCTTCTTCCCTCGGTGGGCTTTGCGGGACCGGGCAAGGATCTGCCCAGTCATCAGCGGCACGATATAGCCGCCGGATGCATCATGTCATAAGCCGTGTGTAGTAAACCGTGAGTTTTTTTAATTGTTCTTTTTGTTCTTTTCAAGCCGAGAACTGGCAAGGAATTGACACGAAAATCGTATAGGTATCTATCTACATACAAAGGGTATCTTGTGTACTGCATACCCTTGGCAACCCATGAGAAAGCCAAGAAGCCAGGATCGATACAAGCAGCAAAGCAGCAAAAGCGTTGGAGAAGCGCCAACCAAAAAAAAAAAAAAAAAAAAAAAAAAAAAAAAAAAAAGAATCGGAGGTCGCCGGCCTGGCCTTTTCCTAGACGGCTTCGTGCCCCGGGAGGTGCAGGTGACCGAAGTCGAAAAGAAAAAAAAGACGTGGTGCGGCGCTCGGCTTCGGCTTGAGACCAAATTTGTGGGCTTTGGGATGACAAACCTGGAGAGGGTTGAAGGAAGCTGGAGAAGAGCGGCTTCGGGATGCCACGGCGTCCTGCGGCACCCGCGGACTGCCATGAAGAAACAGTTGACATGGAGTCGATTCCTCTTTGGCGGCTTGTTTCTTTGGTTCAAAGAGGGAACATCCGCACTGGATCAGTTTTGTCTTGTTTTGTCTACTAGAAGCTGGTCCGTGGATGGGCTTGGTGAAGTGGGAGTTGGAGAGCAATGGCGCAGTGGAGATGCGGTTGTGAGGCTTTGGCACTTGGACGCTACACACACGATCCTTTTGACGGCAGGATGCAAGATGGAGTGTACGAGTATAAGGAGACCATGTTTGCACGGTGGATCATGGCTTTGATGATGCTGATGGATGGCTGCAAAGAGTTGATGTACCCAAGATATTGACAGCAATAGACTTAGTACCATCACAAATTCACTCTTGTCTCTTGTCTCTTCTTCCCCACGCCCGCTCCCACCTCGCCACATGGCCCGTCTCCTCACTTGCTCTCTTTCTTCCAACAATCTTTGTGACTAGTGTTTGTTGAAGAAAAAGAAAAAGATTTTCCCATTCATCGCCCTACTGTTTAAAACGCCTGCTTTAGCACCGCCTAGCACGCAGCGTTAGAAGCCCCTTGTCCAATCACAGCGGCCCGAATGGCGCATGGCCCGCTGCAAGGGTAGGCGAAGGCGTCCACTAGACCGATTGTTTCCCTTCCAATTCTTTTCTTCTTACTCGACGGGCCGTTGCTTGGCGCCGGTTGTGCTTGTTTTTCTCGCCCTGTGATGGGTATTAGTGACTGATCAGAATGTGGCGGGCTTTTGGTCCTGTGGCCAGTCTCAGCTCGTTCAGCCTCGGCGAGTGCAGTTGTGACTTGTCCGTCTGTCTGACATGCTCTTCTTCTCCTCTCCCTCTTCTCTTCACTCTTCCTTCCCTTTCACTTCACTTTGCCTGTTCGATACTGTGTTGGTTTGTATTCATTTCCATCGTGACAATAATCGATGAAACAAAAGAGAAAAAGAAAAAGAAAATCAACTCCCCCGTTAGCCAGCAGCAGCCCCTCTAACCCCCCCGTGCTAAACCGCATTCTGCCACCGCCAACTGCCTAGTACGTCCCCTCCTCCCGCTAGCACCCGCCACCGCCTACCTTCTGCTTTCAGCTTATCGGTAGGTTTTTTTTTTCTGCCCGCCATGGATCATATCGTGTGGAATTGATTCCGTCGCGCTCGCCGCCGACTAGCCTCTTTTTTCTTTTCTTCGTCTTCTTCCTCTCTCTTCTTCCTCTCGCCTCAATCCTCTTCCCCTCGTTATACAGCTTCAATATAAATCTGCTCTTGTCGAGTGGATTGCATGTGCTGCCCTGCAGAATCATAGGCTTACCGGCAAGCGACTTGGAGTCTTTGCGCTTGCTGCAATCTTTAGGTGACGAAGAAAGACTCCACCAATCCAACCGCGAGATATTCAGCATCCATATCGACATCAGTGCCTCACAAGATACAATTCCAACGGGTACCAACATTGTCACTTGTTTGAAAACCTCCTTCAAAACATCAAAATAGACTTTGACGTCGTTCCAACGCCACCCGCCAGCAGTTGAATGACCCGCTCAAATAACCCCCGCCTTCGACTACCATCAGCATCACCATCAGCATCACCAGCAGCTACAGCTACAGCTTCAGCTTCAGCTTCAGCCTCTTCGTCGACTTCGGCAGCTTCCTCTTCCTCTCAGCCTCTCATCGACTCATCTTCCAGTCCGCACATCTTCTACGGCGCCGTCAACATGACCCTTAACCCCATCGAGGCCGACTCCAAGCTCGGCTTCACCTCGACCGTCGTCTCCTCCGGCTCGGGAGACAAGAACGAGGGCGGCAACATCAACAGCCAAGCAGCCAACCATGGCGACAATGCCAACAATGACGCCGCCGCCACCGATGCCACCGTCTCCCAGGGCATCCACATCCTCGAGGCCGAGTCTGTCCACTGGTGGTCCTACCTAGCCACGGCCGACTTCTGGGCCGTCATCGCCGTTGGCCAGGTCCTGTCGCTGTGCATCACTGGCACAAACACCTTCACCTCGTTCCTTGCCAATGCCGGCACCAACATCCCCGCCTTCCAGACCGTCTTCAACTACATCCTGCTCTTCCTCGTCTACACCACAATCACCCTGTGGCGCGATGGCCCCCGTGTCTGGTTCGACATCATGCTCAAGGACGGCTGGCGCTACTTCATCATGTCCTTCCTCGACGTCGAGGGCAACTACTTCACCGTCCTGGCCTACCGCTACACCAACCTGCTGTCCGCCCAGCTGCTCAACTTTTGGTCCATCGTCTGCGTCGTCATCATCTCCTTCCTCCTGCTGCGTGTGCGCTACAAGCTGTTCCAGGTCATTGGCATCCTCATCTGCTGCGGCGGCATGGGTATCCTGCTCGCCTCGGACCACATTACCGGCTCCAATGGCGGCCCCGGTGTTGACATGGTCAAGGGCGATCTCTTTGGCCTTCTCGGCGCCACTCTCTACGGTGTTTCCAACGTGTTCGAGGAGTGGCTCGTGTCCAAGCGCCCCATGCACCACGTCTTGGCTTTCATGGGCTTCTTTGGCATGTTCATCAACGGCGTTCAGGCCGCCATCTTCGACCGCACCTCCTTCCGCGATGCTCACTGGGACAGCTCCGTCGGCGGCTGGCTCGCCGGCTACACCCTCTGCCTCTTCGTCTTCTACACCCTGGCTCCCCTCATCCTGCGCATGGGCAGTGCCGCCTTCTTCGACATCTCGCTGCTGACGGCCAACTTCTGGGGCGTCATCATCGGCATCCACGTCTTTGGCTACGTCATCCACTACCTGTATCCCATTGCCTTTGTCTGCATCGTCATCGGTCTCGTCATCTACTTTTTGTCCGGCAGCGTCCTCGGCGACTCCAAGAAGCCCTGGCTGGGTGCCAACCAGGAGGACGGCGTGGCCGGCTTTGGCACTGCCAAGTTGCGTGCCATTAACGCTGCCAGGAAGGCTCAACTGGACACCGAGGCTGCTCCCAATGTTCAGTAAACGAACATGCAGGCTCATAGACTACAAGTAAAACAGGGGGAAGGAGAGTAATAACTACACTAAATAATTGGACAGAAGAAAAAGGAGGATTTGGCACATTTGAATGGGGAGAGGCAGATGCTTAGATACCCGGGTGATGCCTATTGTTGGCAATCCATTTTGGATATACGATAATACAACACTCCAAGCCCCATTTGTTCCATGTAACCCATCAGTCCTAGCCAATGTTTTCTCGATGCAAGAGTTGTTGCTACTTGAGGTCACTCGCTACAATGTCATGCTCATCATCATTGTCATCATCATCCTCATCATATCCTCGTCGTCACCACCATCACCATCATCAATCTTACTTTGCGCTGGAGTGTCGACCACCTCCTCAAAATCAGACACCCAACCTGCAGCTTTAAGCCACACAACCTCTCCGCCCGCTTCACCATGCCGCCCAAGAGGCTCCGAGACAATCAGCGGCCTCACCACAACTCCAACATGCCGCCCCCGTACACTCCGCCGTGCAGCAGGTGAACCAACACCGTCAGCCTCGATAAAAGGGGATTCATCATCGAATCTGTATTCTGCGAATCTCGGCATGCCGTGTGTTTTGATGACGGCGCGTGTCTTCCAGAACTTGAGCGCCATGGTGCCAAAGTCGAGGAAGAGCTGGGATAGGTCGTTGAGGGCTTGGGCGTCGACTTGTTTGAGGAGGAAGGAGAAGTCTTGGACAAAGGTTTTCGCTTTGGTTTGTATGAGATGGAGATTGAGTGGTGTGGCTTTTTCTAAGGATTGGACGGTTTGGATGCGCCAGTCGATGCCCAAGTTCTTGTCAGCTGTGGTGTTGAAAGATTGTTAGCAACTCGTATATATGGCTGTCATCATCTTCTTTACCCATCCATCGCTGGTTTGTTTACTTTCGCCTCCAGGGTCTCAGTAACGTTGTCGGCTCACCTTTACAGAGCATGTCCTCGAGCTCCTTGAGCCACCGGCGATTATCTGAAGGATCCTGGCCTAGCACTTTCGATGTCTCCATCCCATCTGCCAGAAAATAAGCATCCGTCAGAAAAGCGTCGCAAAGAGTCAGCGAAAGAACGGCTTGAAGAAGAACCATGGGGCTTCTCCCATCAGGCAAATCCATGGGAAACTGTAGGTTGGCCGGCTCTTCCATATAACTTTTGCTGTTATTGATGATGCCCATCGATTGTAGCTTTTGCTTTGCCTTTTCTGGCTCGGGAACTTCCATGGAGCCCAAGTCTGCGCACCATGAGAGAAAGTCATTCTCGTAAAAGCATTTCAGCTCGTGTTTGATCATGTCGTCTGTGAGTGGTCTTGGAACGGTCTTGGATAGTGACGACACGTGGGTTTCGTGGGCTTTTGTGACGACTGTTTTGTTCTTTTCGATGTGTTTTTGGAGTTGAGCCACTTTGGATGTTTCGTCTTGGAGCTGGGATGAAATAGCTTCCACCTTTGACTTGGCATCTTGAAGTTGAGTTGAAATAGCCTTCACTTTGGATATTTCGTCTTGAAGCTGTGATGAAATAGCTTCCACCTTGGATTGCTCGTCTTGAAGCTGGGATGAAGCAGTTTCCATAGCCTTGCTCCACTCTGCCTCTTTTTGATCCATGATTTTCTTGTGTTTTGCTCTTAAACTCTCCAAATTCATCTCACGGATCTTCTTCTCTTGCTTGAGACTTTGTTGAAGATTGTCTCTCTCTTGACGCACCCCGTCGAGTTCCCTGCTTTGGGCTTCATACTTTCTCTCGAGCTCGTCTATATCTTGAATTCCGGCAACTTCATGGCCAAAGCAACTCCCACCAAAGAACGACCATACAACCAACAACTTGCTTAAGCCGAAATCAAATCTCTTGCTCACTTGCCGTTGGGGGTCTGCAGGATTCTCCAGCAGCGCGCTTCTTTCATCCGGGCACAAAGGTTTCGCATCACCACGCAGCCTTTGAGCTTCGATGTCGAGATCGTCCAGATAAGGAGAATTGCAATGGTCCCTTAAAAGGGGAAAGATGAAGCAGGGTTCTGTTGGCGAGTAGATGTATCCCCCATCCTAGAAACACATGACAGGTGAGCTTCGCAATGGGGAAGCCGGCAGCAGAATGGTTGTCTGGTATGCGTACCCCAGGTAGATACCCGTCCGCCATGTTGTTTGATTTCTCAGCAGGATATGCTCAAGTTTCTGCTTCAAAGTCGGTGGTGCAGAAGGAAATAGTTGGTACGTACGGAGGCCAGACTCTGATAATGATGCCCAACGTACAGTTAAGGATCTCGCTTTTATAGATACGGCAATCGTTTAGGCAATAAAAAACATCCGATTGCCTTATAGTGGTGACACGGCAAAGATTGGCCAAATCACATAGCATCCACGGCATTTGCTCTCGATATTTACCATCTGATAGGTCAAAATACGTTACAAAGCTCTACAGTAAAAATGCAGCCATTCAGAAATCAATACATGGTTCTAATCAGTGCTTCCTATCGCATCGACCAATACCAGATGAGTACGTGGAGGAGTGTGTCTGCGACCAACACGCTTTGCTGCCTATCCAATGCCGCAAATCCACGTAAACACGACTTTCGTCACACGCAGTCATCACACGTTCTTTTTCATTGCCCATGGATGCAGTTGCAGCAGAAACAACGAATAGATCCGGCAGAATTGTCTTCAACCGCAGCCGTCTCCGGGCGCAAATAATGGAGCGTGCGTGTAAAGGCTATGACTCAGGGGTTTGATATCCAATCTCGAAATGATTTTCATCAAAGAAATGCTACACACAAGGCCTAGTAAAGAGTCTGCCGTGCTGCGACCCAATGCAGCTTCAAGTGGCACGCATTGAAGCCCAAGTTGGGCAAACATGAAATCAGGCTGGGAGCCTTCCCAAGGCAGCTATTTGGCACAGCCATCGCATTTTGGTCGTGACGCCCCCATGTTTTGACTCTATCAGATGCCGATTCTTCCTAATCTGCTTCAATTTATCAAATACACCAAAAGGTCATCTCATTCGCCCCGAGTATACCCGGATAATGGCCATCATTACTCCACGAACCAAGCTTTTGGTCGGCATCGACTACGGAACGACATACTCGGGGGTATGTTTCGCACTCTCAAATGCCTCTGATTTCAAAGATATAAACACCTGGACCAAATACCCCGGCGCGGCCTCACATAGCGCCCAACATACCATCAAAGCCCCGACAAGAGTTGCCTTCCCAGAGGAAAACGACGACCTCGATAGGACAGCATGGGGCTACGAAGTCGAAGCAGGCATGAAATCGTATTCCTGGACAAAACTGCTTCTCGATGATACTCTGCCTTCCGAGTTTGATGTCACAGATACGCACACCACCATGGATCCCGAGATCATGCGTCTCCCCAACAACATGTCGGCAAAGGACGTTGCCAGGGAGTATCTTGCGGGAATGAGGAAGATGTTTGACGAGAATATCAAGCAGAACATTGGAGCTCATGAGCTAGATGATCTTCCAATGGAGTTTTGGATAACAGTGCCCACCTCGTGGAACGAAAGGACGAAACTCCTTACCAAGAGCGCGGCCATGGAAGCAGGGTTCGGCAAGAGGGAAGTTGACAGTATCAGACTCATCCCAGAGCCGGAAGCGGCAGCACACATGGCATTGAAGACCGGCATCCACCGGTTCGAGGGCTTCGTCAAGGTGCGTGCTCTCAAGGGTTACACAAATCGAACCAGTTGATTCTAACCCGGGGTTAGCCCAAGACAGGTGTATTAGTATGCGATTGTGGCGGCGGTACCGTGGTATGCCTACTCTATTAGAAGACTTGCTCTCTTTTAACCATGGCTAGGATATTACGACGTATGAGATTGAGAGGACGGAACCGACACTCACGCTCCGAGAAATCGTCGTTGGTGTAGGTGAGTCCGCACCATGAGTCAATGACTAAAGAGTCTCCGATTCAGCTAAAAAGAAGATGAAGCAACTGAAAAAGAATGCCAACGATGTCATTTCTCCAGCCGGCAAATGCGGTGACACATGTGTCGATCGAAACCTCTTGAAACTCCTCTCCATCGTCAGAGAAAAGAAATGCCAAAAGCACTACGGCCACGCTCTCGCCGAGGTCTACAATCCGTCACTTCACAGCAACTACAACACAGAAAGGAGATGTATCTACAAAGATGTCATGGATAGAGTTGACAGACTTACCGGCTTCATGTTCTGGCAGATTCCAAAGGTACAAAGTCTTCTTACACTCCCCCCCCTTTTTTTCCCCAGTCTCTCGCCTTCATTTAGCTGTGTGAACCTAGCCAGACTAACTTCAGGTTTACTCTCGAAAGGGCACCCTCATTGATTCAAAAACCGAAATCAACTCAGAGTTTGTCAACAATTATAGGGGTCCTGTTATCAAATCCGGAGAGCATTTTCTTTACTCGTGTAGTTTAGACGCTGCGCCGAGTACCATTGACGATAATCGTACACACTCACTCACTCGACCAAGATCAGAGAAGCATATCCGGCTAACCAGACGAATATAGGCGTCGAGACGATTGGGAGAATTCTGTACACCCTGCACGATCTAGATTGGTCTCAAGTCCCCAACGTCAAGCAGCTTACAGGCGAGAATGGGGAGACGTGCACCGAGATCCCTCTAGTTCTCAACATTCGCCTGGATGATGAAGTGGGCCATTTGGTGTTTCGCATCTTGTGTAATGGGAGAGAGGCTGGGAAAGCAAAATTGGACTTGGATTATTAGCAAAGGAGAGGCTGAAGTAAAGGATAAATAGACTATATAGAAGCTATACCCGGGCGGAGAATGGCTACTCAGGGCCAAAATTGATCCTCATCTCGTGTTAACTCAGCATTAGCCAATCTATTAAATCTTCTACTAGATCTACACATATAAAGTATGTCCGCCAGCAAGGTTTAAAAGCAAACTTCAAAATGCGTACAAAGGCATAAACACCAAAAACAAATCCAACGCAACAGCTTCAACTCAGGATAATAACCATACCTTTCCCAGAATTACATCTTCACATACACCCAATGTAGCAAATCGCGAGAGTTGTTTCACAAAAGGGACAATATCCAGCACCGTGAATCAAACAAGTAGAACCGAATCCCTCTTAGATTAGATTCTCAAAAAAAAAAAAAACACCTATATACGTGCAATCATATATAAAACACAAAATCAAATTAAAATCCCCAATAACCCCATCCGCTCATCCAACCAAAAAAAATAAACCCCTTCCATCCCATAAACACATCAGGTCATCCCTAGTTAAAACACAAAAAGTTCCCAGTGTCCCCAAAGCTGCGCCAAAGATTGATTACCCAATATAGTAAGTAGTAAAAGTATATAGATATAATATGGTGATGGTATATAAGCCGGGGAGTTGTACATTCAAGCACAACACATGTAGTTATACGCACGTATATGCAGTTCGCTTCCTTTGAATAAGAAAAGGCGCCATCATTATTGCGATTCTGCAATTGCACGTGTCTTCGTTTATAGTCGTCGTCTTGCTCCGTGGAAGAGCGAATCTTGTCGAATTGGCGCCTAAGATAGGGCCGACTCCATCTCCCCATCTCCCCCCTTTCGGCCGTCAATCTTTTCGATATGCTCAACGCCGTTTGCCGTCTTGGCCGTCGAGGAGCTGGAGCTAGGCCGCCCGTCTTGCTTGAGCAAGTCGTGCTCGCTCCGCAGCTGTTTCGTCTCTGTCATGGCCAGCTGCTTCGTCTCTGTCCTGGCCAGCGTCTTGTCTTCGAGGCCTTCGATAAAGGAAATGTCGCCCACCCGAAACTTCTCTCGCAGTCCCACGACGCCGTCCAAGACCGCGCCTCGCTCCGGAGGCGGAGTCACGACTAGGTGGTCGGGCCATAGGATTCTGCGCGCTTCTTCTTCCGTCATGGGGGGCTCGTCAATATCCTCTGTCGAAATGAGACTGCTCTCGTCTGAAGGCGTGGTAGATTCGTCCGAGAGATCAAAGGCGCGCTGCCGAGGCGTAGTTGGCGTGGCGGTATCACCGTCATCAGAGCCCTCATTACTCCCTTCCACAACTGGGAGCAGCGGTGGCGGAGGATTAGCCTCCTTTGGTTGGAACGGTGGCGGAGGATCATGGGTCAATATTTCCAAATCATCGTCGTCATGGTCACCACGGACCCGCCCGCCTTGTGAAGACACAGAGCCATGGCGAGTCAACGGATCGATGCTGGAGGAGTCGTCGTCGTCGTCTGATTCGTAAAGGCCTTCGTCGTCTTCGCTCCTTAATGTAATGGCGTCGGCACCGTCGCCAAAGCCTCTCTCCTTGAGCATGTCCGACTCGGATTTTAAGACCTTGCTTTCGACCCTGTCATCATCCATCGAGTGTCGCCCGACGCTTCCCCAGCGCATCCGATCCGCACGCAGGAAATTGCGCATGATTCGGAGCTCGTTTCTCTTGTACGTCTCGTAAAAGGCTCGGTTGATCCTGGCCGCGGCTTGCAGATCCTCTAGATCCTCCATCTCACCAAGGATCTGCAGGCGAATCTCCTCTGGAAACTCAGTGACGACGCTATGGATCTTCTCGTGGGCGGCCATCCGGTTGAGGCCGGCTGTCAGCAGCATTTGCGGCTCTGATATCTTGTGCTTCGAGAGGGCCCAACCATGGCTCTTGCCGCTAATGTCAAACAGAGTTAAGCCGGTAACACTGTTATAAATGTCTGCTATTGCGGCGCGGAACGCGGGAACGGGATCACAGACGCTGCCGGGGTGGAGAGGCGCGGGAGGGCTCGGTGTCGAGCGGAGCGTTTCCATCATCTGCGCCAGGCTCTTGGACGGAGGAGGGGCATTCGGAATGTGCGACATGATGGAAGGCTGAACAATGGTTGACAGCAAGCCAAACTCGTTGTACACCAGCATCAGCCACCCTAAATTCGAAGCATCGCACCAATGGTTGCCCTTGGGGCATCTCGGCGTGCTCGTAAGCGACATGGCAGGTTGGATTGGCGAGGCGAGGTGGCTGTCGAGATCAGAAAGCGATATGTGTTGCTTTTCTTCCGAGGATGAGTCCTGCTCTGTTGGGCGGATGTATTCTTGTATTGTGTTTGCGCAGCTCGCGTAAAGCTGGTCGACCTTGGCACAACGAACCGCCCAGATCTTGTCTCTAATCTTCTTGGGCCAAGGTTTGCTGTGCAGATCCTTTTCATCCGCAAGGTTGAGGATTGCGCTCTTGGACATGCGAGTGAAGAGCTGCCGGAGTCCAAACGCGTAGCTGATGATGAGAAGTCCGTCGGGCATGTCATCAGCCCCTTTGTGCATCCATTGCGGCAGCCATCTATGCTCCACAACCATTTCCAACGGTGACGTGCTCTTGTACCTGAGAGAGCACTCGGCAATGGAAACGAATTGTTCAAAGGTGACATCCCTGGGAATCTTGTCGTTGTGCATGTGAGCGGCATGGAGCAGGATTTCCAGCGAGCCGTGGTGGTTGAACTCCTGCTGTGGCATCCGATACAGCTTGACTTCAGCCCCATCGTCACAGAAATACGGCACCGGCGGCGGCGGGAGCTGATCGCCAATGTCGTCGGCCTCGTGGAGGTAGTAGCTACTCGCCTGGCCAGAGAACAGCCGCGCAAAAATGGGCGACGTCTCTGCTAGCAAGGCGGTGGAAACGCGAAATCGCAAGGCCGGCTCGTTGCCCGTAGCGTCAGGCCCCAGATTGGCGAATTCGAGCACGGCGTCTCCGCGGGGCGCAATGGCAAACTCCTCGATGACTCTACCCGGTGAGATGCCCGATTCGCCTGCTTGAAGAAGCTTTCGGATATCTCTCAGCTCCAGCTTGACCCGTTCATAATTCCTGAATCGAATTTCGTATCGCGGAAACTGCACACATCCAGGTTAGACCAAGCTTTTTTTTTTTTTAATTTCTTGCAGAAGATGAAGCACTCACAAACTGAGGGTCGGCGGACAAAATCTTGGTGACGCTCGTGTTGCGCATACGGTGAACGGCGTCTCTCCTGAACTTCTTGCTCGTGAATAGGGCGTCGAGCATCTCGGGTGTGGCATCCCGCTCATAGCTCTTGTACGTCTCGGAAAGGCTGGCCTTGAAGTGTTCGGCAAGCACCTCGAGACACGTCTTCCAGTCCCGGATCGGCGTGAGCCACATGTCACCGCCATGACTCCTGCTTCCGCCGGCCGTGATGACCTCGGCTAAGCTGCGGCCGCTAAAGGAACTCCTCTGGTCGAACACGGCGCTCGGGCTGCGAGGCGTGTCCGCGGACGAATCCTGGCGAGTCAATGGAATGGCTTCGGTGGCGGCGGCGTTGGAGAGAGTGCGAGGCGTCTTGATCTCCTCTCGAAGGATGGCATCGCAGAGAGCAGCGCATCGCTCGTTGATCTTGGTAAACTCTTTGTAGGCACCGTCGACGTGATTGGGGCCGGAGGGAGCGGCTCGCATGCGCGCAACAAGGCTTTGTAGCTGGCGGTAGTTGGACTCGGCGGTTTCATGGATCGAGGAGATTTCGTGGATGGAGGGCTCGTGGGTTTCGGTGTCGACGGAGGAGCCGCCCTGTTTGCTCTGTACCACATGTTAGCCTCATCTTGTTATGTAAAATGCTGGGTCGACGAGGCGGAGCGGCAACGTAAGCGAATGAGCAACGCTGACCATTCCATGCGGCGATGCAGCAGACGGCCGGGCAAGAAAGGGAGTGATAAGCAGAGCAAGTCGGGAGGGGGGCGGGAAGAGGCCAAAGACAAAGGCCAGGCCGGGACGGGGAGAGTCAACGTACAGCCCAGCTCTTGTCGTCCTTGCTGGCGCCGCTGATGCTGCCAAACTTGCTGCGGATGGCTGAGGGGAAGCGCCATATCTTCTGCGACGAGCCGCTGGACGAGGCGCCGCCCTCGCTGTTGGTCCGGTGAATCATGTCGGTCTTGATGCGGGAGCGGGTTCATAGAGAGAGAGAGGCGGGATGGATGGAATTGGACCCTTGGGCGGAGGAGGGAGGATGGGAGAGAGCGAGGAGGAGAGCGAGGAATAGACGGAGAGGAGGCGGCAGACACGGAGAGAGAAGAGAGAGAGAGAGAGAGAGAGAGGAGAGGTGGTATCGTGTCGGTGTCGGTGTCGGTGTCGGCGACGGTGGTGACGATGGCGATGATGCGCGTCGCACGGCAAAGCAAGATGAAAGAATGGCAGCGTTCGTCAAGCCTCAGTGTCCACGGCAGCGTCGGCGCCAGCATCCGTCGGCAGCATGATTTCGCAAGCGATGACGACAATCGCGAATGGCTCAGAACGAGATGCGCCTGCGTGCCGTCCAGGTTCGTTGGGGATGTTGATGTTGGTGTTTGAGTTCCGAGGACGGCTTGCAGTCACTAAAAAGTGTCGTGGGATCGGAGGCATGGGGGAATCTGGGGTAGAAAAGCGGGATGGTCGCAGACTTTTGCCCTTGGACACTAGCCGACTCAGCAACGGCGATGGTTGTGCTGTAACTACAGTGCATGTCGCAGTGAGATTGGATGCGCCACGCGCGCTGTAAGACAGCAGCAGCCTTGGAGGAATCAATCAATAGGAATCAAATGCCGATCTGCTCCAACGGTCATCGTCGTCACTTGTAAGAAACGCTGCGTATTGCTGGCGGGTATTAACCGTATTATCATGTGTCAGGGTGGACCTGCAAGGGCAAGGGGCCGGAAACAGGCCAAGTTCTCACTGCAACAGGCTCATTGATTCCTTGGATACAACCTCACTTGATAACACCGCATTAGCAACTCATCCAAAT